GTAGTATTATATATTATATATACATACACTTTATTAGTACAGTATTACTTGCTTAACATATGAAGAAATATACATTTTTGGTATTGGGTGTATGTGCTCAAATTTTTTTTCCTGATGGTGGTATACGATAAAAAATATTTGAGACTACTGTACAATATTATGATTTTCTTGTGGACTTGGATCATTTCTTTTCTTCTTGATATCCCTAATTGCTTAGCACAATGTCTGGCCTATAATAGGGGATTAATAAGTATTGTTGGCTGGCTGGCTGGCTTGCTGGATAGATGGATAAATTAATAAATCATGTGACTGTGTTTCTCCTTTTGAGTAGGAGGTTATCTTAAGTTACCATTTAGTAAATACTTCAGGTACTAAGGACACATCTGGGTGATCAAACAACTAGACTCTGATAATTGATCTAGATGCTATGTTTGGATGAATTAAAAACTGATTCAGCTTGCCACATTTTCCAACAGTCCACCAGATTGATGGATTACCACAAAATAAATGGTGAATATGATTGAGAAATTTTATGTAACCCTGCTCCCCAGGATTCATTTGTCTTAAATATTATCAGAATCCTATCTAGGGTTTAGCAAATGACATGATCTCCATAAATGTCTATGTTAAGATTTCTTTATATTTCTTCTCCCTTTGGTAAAAAGGTCATGTGGTTAGAGAGATACAATGACATGATCAGGGATGAAGAAATAGGGAGAAAAGAAAAGTCCTGAAAAAGGTTTGTATGGCTCATATTCAACTGAAATGTTGACCCCCCCTAACATTAGTCTTCTCACCCCCAACTCTTTAAGGTGACAGTGAGGGGACTGAGGGTCATTGCCAAGCAACAGTGCCTCTGACTCAGTCTTCACGTCACCTCTCCTGTGGCTGATTCTTTCCTACGTTACTGCCATTCTTGATATTCCCTTCTACAACTACGTAAAACAGGACCTAGTACACAGTAGGAACTTGAAAACTGTTTGTGTATGAAACATGTCTTCTCTGTATAATCTGAGCTCACGTACCTGCAAACGTACATGTCTTTGGTTGTGGAGGTGGTAGTCACGTGCCGGCCAGGGCAGGGCTGGGGGGCGTGGCACAGCATTGGCACACTCCTCACCCAGCGTGGCTTGGTCAGGCCGTTCTGCTCAGCACCACCTGTCTGCCTGTTGGTGAGGGAGTGGCTGTTATCTCCTTCAGCTTTATCTTCTTTGTGATCCTCTTCCCCTGTGCAAATAGATAAATAGACAAAAAGGCAGGTTGGACACTATAATAAACCCTGTGCTCTTTCCATCAGAATTTCCCACATCAGATTCAGCTTGGTGCATTGCTGATGTTCTCTTAATTTTGCATGGTTGTTTTAACAATGTGGGCAAAATAGAAGGAAATGTGAATTTCTATAAATGGGGGCATAGTTTGGAGTCCAGCTGTGAATTATACTGAGTGTGTAGTTGTTGATAAGACCATTTTCTGCCTCTCGCTCTTCTATTTTTGCCTTGCTCAAAATCACATATTAGACATGAATGCCCTCTCTTAGTGCTGGTACCATGATATTCCTGACCAATTTTACAAGAGAAGAAAAGCGCACTGAGGCAGAATGGTTTCTACTAGCCAGTGAGGTGAAAGTTATTCATATACTCTTCTTTTTATTTTAATTCAAGTTAACCTTTCAAAAAAGGTTTTAAGGGCCAATTATATGTGTCAGTGATTTTCCTTTATAGTGGGTGATTTAACACATGTTACAATATAACTGTCTTTTATGCTGGAAGAAGAATCTGAATCTTCCTCAGAACCATAGTAGAGAAATTGTTTATTACTCAAGATCTAGAACATATAATTTTTAGCCATTATTGGTAGAGTTACACTTTTTTCTTTATTGTCTGTGATAGGTACAAAGTGTAAGCCACAAACTCAGGCAGGCAAAAGGTATAATTTTATTTTTCTAGAGCTTGCTTAACTTCTATTGTAACCCGTAACTGAGCTGAATAATGCCCCTCCCCAAATTCATGTTCAGGGACTTCCCTGGCCGTCCAGTGGTTAAGAGCCCATGTTTCTGCTGTGCGGTGTGTGGGTTCAACCCCTAGTCAGGGAACTAAGATCCCAAATGCCGCATGCGTGGCTCAGCAAAAAAAAAAAAAAAAGAATAAACAAATTTGTGTTCACCGGGAGTCTGTGGGTGTAATGTTATTTTAAGATAGGGTTTTGGCACATATAATCAACTTAACATGAGGTCATGCTGGATCAGGGTGGGCCCTAATAAGAAGAGTGGAACACGTGAACACAGTCAGGGAGAAATGTGCAGGTGGGGTCAGAGATTGGAGAGATGCATCTACAAGTCAAAGAAGGATAAGGATTGCTGGCAACCATCAGAAGCTGGAAGAGGCAAAGAGAGATTCTTCCCTAGAGACTTCAGCCCTGCTGACATCTTAATTTCAGACTTTTAGCCTCCAGAACTATGAGAAAATGAATTTCTGTTGTCTTAAGCTACTCACTTTTTGGTAATTTGTTATGGAAGCCCTGGGAAACTAATATTCAGCCTCTTTTTAAGTTGGAGTAGCAGAAAATTAACCTTATTAAATTTGGGGAATCCTTCCTCTTTCTCTGGAGTTACTTTAAGTAGCAGCAAGATGTGATGTTGAAGTGGGGACCATCGGATCCTTGACATCACCAAGCCACACTGGTGTCCCTGATCCCTAAGCTGTCTCCCAGTTGGCCTGCACCTATTTCTTCTCTGAGATATTAACATCTCCCAGGACTTTAAACTAGGCAAATCCCCTCTGTTCTTGAACCCCACAAACCTATTTGGTGGTGTTGCCACCTCTCCAGAACTTGGCCTAAGGAATGGCTCAGAGTTTATTACTGATGCATGTTCTCATTATTGAGGATTATTTTTCTAGCTCTTTATTTTTCTTCCCCCTTGTGGTGGGAAGGAGGTGGCAAATTCTTGCTCATTCATCTTTTTTCCATGTCTTAATTCTTTTTTTTCCCCTAACAGCGTAAGTTAGTGACTTTCAACTGGAGGTAATTTTCTCCCTAGTGGTCATTTAGAGATGTCTGGAGACATTTTTGCTTGTCACAGCTGGGGAGTGGGAGGGTTGCTACTGGCATCTGGTAGGTAGAGGCCAAGGATGCTGTTAAATGCACAGCCCCCAATACTTCCCAATTCCTCTTTGATGTAAATAAATTATTTACATTAAAATATAAAATAGAGCATAGCATTTATTGGGGCTTCTGAATTGGCTAGATAGCTAAACCACCTAATTTAGGAGGAGAAAAAAAATCTCCTTTGGAGCCCAACCTTTTTTGGTTTATTGGAGGTGTTCGGATGACTTAGGCAAGTGCATATTTTAGCTAATTCATGCCAGGCTGTGAAGAATGTTGGGCTGAGAATGTATAAACATTCCTGCTTTTCTTATCAGCTGTTTAAGCAGGCAACTTCACACCTCTGGGCCTTGGTTTTCTCATGTGTTAGAGGTTTAAACTAGGTTATCTCTGAAATTCCTTCCATTGAATTTTTCCCTGTGATTTAGGAACAGATTGTGAACAGAAATAATTTTTATATACAGATTCTTAAAGGTACTAATAAAAATCATCTTTTTTTCATGGCATTCTTTGGGAATATGGAGATTGCTAGTTGTTCAATAAAATTTATTCTCTTCTTTCATGTGCCCATAAATTAGAGTAAAAGGATAAGCTTCTATAATAAAGAGACCCACCAATATAGTGACTTTAAAAAAACAAGACCAGACCACATTTCCCATATTCCTTTGCGTTTGGATGTGCTTAAGTTCTCTCCAATAGGTGAGGGGAGGTGAGGTGTCTAAACTCTGACCCTAGTCCTGAAGGCAGTGGGTGTGCCTCCTTCATGCCTTCCATTTTCCTCCAGCTGGAATCCCTGGTCATCCATTTTCAACCATCTAGGTGACAGTGATGCCCTGGAACCTCAAGTGATGGAATAGAGCAGAACTGTCCCACCAAATTGCATTGCTGTCCTCAGAGCTGTTTGGTGTAAGACACAAAATGGTTTTTTTAAGTCACTATATTGTTAGGTGTTTTAATTATAGCAGCATAGCTTTTTACCATAATAAGTAGAGGAATTCTCTACATAAAGACTAAAACAGCAAATTTTTAAAAAGGTGCATGCTGTTATATCCAGTATGAGGTGCTAGTGTTGACTCAATATTTCATCACCAAAATATAAGTGAAACATTTTAAAGCAAGGAGAGGATATAGAAAAGATTAGGTCTATCTTGTTCATAATCTCTTTTTTTGTCACCTGGCTCTGTACCATTTTCTCTTGTAAATTCTGTACCAAATAATAATCCTCATAATCTACTTTGAGTTGACCTGTTTTGTTTTAGGCATGACCTCTGCGATCAGAGAATTATCAGTTTCTCTATCTGCCGTTGCTCAAGTTTAGACTTAGTGTATTGTCTTTCCTACCATACTATTCCTCTTCTGGCTCTCTCTCTTTCTGGACTTAATGCATGGCTGGAACATAGGGCATGTGGCTATCACCCCTGTGTCTATGCACAACTGTTTACTGTAGCCATTTGGAAAGAACACCTGGGAGAGATTTCTTCCCTTTATGCTGCAGGAAGGTGGAAGCAGAGGTAAAGGGGACTGGTGGTTTAGGTCATCTTGACTTTTATTGGAAAGGCAACAACTTCTTTCCAGTATTCTATAAAAATCACTACTGTGTGGCAAATGTTCTCTTTGGCTATTTTTATTGTGACTCATCTGTAAATTATAATAGTAGTAATTATTAAGTATTAGTTCAAATATTATCCTAACTCTGAACTGTCGTCATGTTAAATGAGAATTTCATGTTTTAACTATGCAAATAGAAACTATTTTGTTGGGATAGATATTAATTGAATTACAAGATCATGAATAGGAGAAAGACTATACATTGAATATTTAATTTTATATATGTTCAAATGTGGACAAATAGATTAATCTTTCTCCTATTTATTTTGTTCTGTCTTAAAGGCAAAGTTGATTAGCTGAACTGTGACCTGAATGAAAGTGGCAACGATCATCTTATCAGTCCCTCCTCTTAGCTTTCTTTATACGGACCCATCTTATGTGCTTGGCGTAGGACAGCTTGCAATATGGCTGCTGTTTGAAATGAAAATCCTTCCTAGGTTAGTAAGGTGATTTGGGTTAGAATTAGTTCAATGACTTTGTTTTTTTAATGAACTTGGAGTATAACTTCTGCTGATAATTTTAAATTGGTTTTTTGGCAAGAAAACTTTTTGCAAGCTTTAACTTGATATTAGTTCATGCGGGCCTACATAATTGACTTTTGTTTTTCAAGTGACAAGATGAGAGTTTAAATCCATACTTGCTTGCTGTGACTTCCTTTGGACTTGACAAGGAGACCCACCTTTCTTCTGCTGTTCTGAGTAGGCAGCTGTGGATAGTTTCACAGGAAGCAAATCCCCAATAGGGAACTTTTTGGAGTTGTTGCATTTGCTCTTTATGCTCTCTGTGTTTTGATACACTGAACAAGGAATGTTGATGAGACATGAGGCAGAACAGCTTGTTCCTCCACAGCTATTTTGACTTTGCAATGCTGGCAATAGTAAAAAGAAAAAAAAAAAAGTTTAGTGTGTTAACTAAGCAAACACATGGCGCTTGGAAGAAGGCTACGGAACAGCTAGGTTATTCTTGGTATCAAGAACCCTATTGCCTAGGGACTTTGAATTGCAGTTCATGAATGCATAGTACTTGGAGTTCTACATTTCTCTAGGTGTCCTTTGTCTCTGGGTGTGTTAATAGGAGCAAATGGTGTTGCTAATGATGTAAAATCCAAGTTGTGTTCAATAATCAAATTTTAGTACAAAGAAGATGCCTTAGAAGAAGTGACACCTCAAAGGATTCAGAATGTGATTATGGAAACAAAATTTGTTAAAATAAATACCCATGCTACTTTGGCTATTAATAAATATAGATTATCCTGAAGAAATAGAAAATATCAATACTGGGGATTGGTTTGATTAGTGGCACTGCTAGGGATTTTAGAACAATGTGGATTATAAGCTTGATTTTGTGAGTTATTGCTGCTGTTTTTCACAGAAGTGATAGTGTGCCAGCTTTGAGCCAAGGCTTAAAGAGGCACAGCAAGCTTCCATCTGCCTCCTTTAAGCACCTACAATCTGCCATGAGAAGAACATGCCATAGGTAGCCACAGGTCCTTTTGCCAGGGTCCCAGAATCAGAGATGCAAGGAACCAGCCTGAACATTGGCCAAGCTGAGCCTAATTGAGCTCAGCCAATCCACTGCCAGCCTGCAGACCTGTGAGGGAAAAATAAATATTTTGTTGGTTTTAAACTCTTGAAATTTGGTGGTTGTTTCTTATGCAGCATTATTATAGCAAAACCCGACTAATACACTTTTATGAGAGGTCTCTAATTTCAGGCTGTTGGTATGTGAGAACCAGAGCATATCTGACACAGTTTTTATGTACTATTTCAGATAGAAACCACTGTTACTCTCTGTGGTTTCTGCAGTGTAGTCAGGTTTACTGACTACAACTCACAGTTTCTGACCCCTCTCATCTCTTTAGACTTGAACGGATCCCAGTCCTGGGTGTGGCATCTGGCATCTTAAGTGGCCACCTGAAGAGCTGGATGACACAGTCCAGAAGTGTGGTGTGCTAATTCCCATGGAACAAACTTTGATCACTGGGAAACTGAAGATGGGAGGGAGAAAGTAAGTATCCCTGACCCCTTCTTCCTCTTTTCCATGGACAATTCCAACCACACAGCCACATGGTTCATCTGAAGAAGCCCTGTATGGCCAAGCAGATCCTTCTGCTGAAGGATTTCCTCTGTCTTTTTACGACTCATCATGAAGCTGTGGCCAGCATGTTAACAAGTCATTTTGCATGGCTTTCCATCCTTTCTTGCCTCATTTCCCCTTTTTCCTCACTTTCATTGCCCTGGTTTTCACATCCCAAAGAAAGCACCACCACTTAATCTTGATCCAGGCTCTGTTTCCTAGAGACCCAAACTAACACATAGACCTAGACCATCATGTCAAGAAGAAGATGATAAAAGTGGTGATTATGATGATGTCACCCAATATGTATTGATGACCACTTACTGTGTGTCAAGCAATATGATGACTGCTTCGAATTCATTTCATTTAATACTCACTACAACTCATAAACTGGGTAATATTATTACTTCATTGTGTAGAGGAAGAAATCAAAGCTTAAAAAGGTTTGATGATTTGGCCAAAATCTCATAGCAAGGAAGTGGAGCCAGCGTATAAACCCAGATATTTCAGATGTCATATCTCATGTGTTAAAGTAGCACAAATAAACTGCAGGGTAGGTAATGGGTGCCAAATTGCAATGTCTGTGTGCTCCAGAGCACCCAATACAGTACTGCATATAGTGTACATTTAATATGTAATTTATTGATTTTATAAATAATTTATTAAGCTTCTACTTATTAATAATATTCTGATAAATATAGACTCATTCTACTAGCATTCGTAGATTGTCAATTTTAAAAAATTAGACTCTAAGAGCCATGTTTAATAGTAAAACATATTTTAAATCAGAAGATCTTTTAGAATTTTATAGGGCTAGAGAGAGACCATAACAATTATCTTTGTGTGTTTTTTGAAAGTAGTAGTATTTATTTGAACCTGATGAATTTGGAATAAAATGATATTTATGACAGTAGGAGTACTCTTTTTTTTTTTTAAACGCTCCTTGTTGCTTTATGGAGGCAGCTCATTGTAGTATAAAAATAGTGAACTAAAAATAAGTGGACCTGAATTCTTCCCTTGAGGTTTTCACTAACAAGCTTATAGTTTTGGGAAAATCAGTTTGGACTAGAGCTTCAGATGCATCGTATGTAAAATGCAAAATTGGTTGAAGGCTATTTCTACCTCTGATAACATTTGTGATTTTGCTGAGGTTATTGGGGAAACTATATCCAGATGGCATCTGAAGACAGAGTTAAAGGCACTCTTTTCATGATATGTTCTCTTTCCCTCTTCCAAATTTTTTTTTCCTCTCTCTGTTTCTCAGTATTTCAGATTACTTGTTCTTTAGAATTCAGTTCAAATACCTTTGTGTGTGTGTGTGTGTGTGTGTGTGTGTGTGTGTGTGTGAGGGAGGGAGAGAGAGAGAGAGAGAGAGAGAGAGAGAGAGAGAGAGAGAATATCTTTCCTGGCTTTCCTAGACAGTTTCCTACTTTTTACTCCTGAGTAACTTTACATATCTATACTATAATTCTTTCTCTATCATATGTGATTATTTGTGTATATGTCTATCTCTCACTAAACTGTGGACATTTTCAAAACCACAACTAAACATTTACTATACTTTAAGAAGGGAATCAATTGCAGTGGTATTACAGAAGCTACATCTTTTCTTTTTTTTTCCCCCTAAATGCCTTATGTACTCATCGATTTTACTTAGGTATAAGCAGTTTGAGAACATTTTTCGTGATCACCAAATTCCACTTTTGTAAAGATATACTAGCTCAAATGCGCAAGGAAACATGTACAAGGCTTTTTATTGTATCCTGTTTGCAATAATAAGAAACTGGAAATATTCATATTTGTCTTTTAGTAGAGGAACAGCTAAATTCTCCTCCTGTTCTCTTTCTCTTCCTCCTCTCTCTCCTCCTGTACTAGTTCTCTACTAGCACTCCTTTCTTTTCTACCACTAGTGCTACAACCACCACCAATAACACAATATTGATGCCACTACCGACAATAATTAATTATAAAGAGCTTATTGTATTGAAGAAGGGAGTGGGGAGACAGTATTGTGGATGGTAGTAAAGGGACTTTTAAAATAATATTTCATACTTTAAACGGACAAGACATTCTTTTTTATGGCTACCAGTTTAATCTGTTCTTTCTATGAAATCCTTACCAAGTCTAAGATTATGAAAATATTGTCCTATGCTTTTTTCTAGATGCTTCATGTTTCCAGCATTTGTTTGAGGATCTATGTCACATCTCACATCAATTTTTGTTCATGGAGTGAGGTAGGAGTTGAGGTTTACCTTTTTTCTTCATAAGGGTATCTAATCATTCCAGGATCATTTGCAAAAAGATTTTCTTTCCCCAATAAATTTACATGGCACCTTGGTTGATAATCAATTGACCATATATGCTGTGGGTATATTTCTGAACTGTCTGTTCTATTTGTTCATGTTATCTTTAAGCCAATACCACACTGTCTTGATAGCTTTATCAGCTAGTGTTAAGTCCTCCAACTTTGTCCTTTTAAAATAATATGTTGTATAATCTAGGTCATTTGCATTTCCATATGAATTTTGTAATTGATTTGCCTATTTCTTTGAAAAAGATCGCTGAGATTTTACTGGGTTTGTGTTGAATGTATACATCTATTTGGGCAGAATAGATAACAACAATATTGAAAATTCAAATTTATGCATGTGGTTTCTCTTTCCATTTATTCAAATCTTTAATTTTTATCAGAAATATTTTATAGTTTTCAGGGAAGTGGTCTTGCATTACAATAACGTTCTTAGGTATTTTTGTGATGTTATTGTAAATGATACTGCTTGCTTTCTTTCACTTTTCAGTTGTTTGTTGCTAATATATAGAAATACATTGTCCCCAAAGGTTTTCCATTGCACCTTCCTTTAACACTTTCATACCTTTGTCATCCCTATGCAATCATTAATTTGCTTTTGGTCACTGTACCTTAGTTTGCACTTTCTAGAATTTTATATAAATAGAACTATATAGATTATACTCATTTTGTCATTTATCATAAATATTTTGAGATTCAGTCATGATGTATCATGTATCAATAGTTTATTCATTTTTGTTGCCAAGTAGTATTCCATTGTGTAAATATGCCATAATTTGTTTATCCATTCACCTGTTGATGGACATTTGGATTTTTCCCAGTTTGGGCCATTATAAATAAAGCTCACATGACCATTTGTGTACAGATCTTTATAATGGACACTTTTTTTCCATTTACCTTGGGGTAAGTACCTAAGAGTGAAATGGCTGGATTTCATGGTAATCTTTTTAAAAAACTGATAACCATTTTTCAGAGTTGTTGTACTATTTTGTAGTTCTGCCATTAGTGTGTGAGAGTTCCAGTTCCTCTATATCTTCACCAACACTTGGTATCACCAACCTCTACTGATTTGTTTTTTAATCTTGATTTTAGCCATTCAAATAGGTGCATAGGAGTATCTCGTTGTGGTTTTAATTTGGATTTCTCTAATTACTAACCATGTTAAGCATCTTTTCATATGCTTATTTGCATTCATATATATATATTGTTTTTGCTTAAGTGTCTGTTCAAATCTTTAGTTCTTTTAAAAATTAAGTTAATTTTTTTCTGAATTTTGAGAATCTTTATGTATTCTAGATACAAATTTTTTAATCATGTATATTGTTTGGAAATATATTTTCCCAGCCTGTGGCTTATTGTCTCATTCTCTTAACAGTATCTTTAGAAGAGTAGAAAATTTTGATAAAGTCCAATTTTTCATTTTGTTTTTTCATAGACTGTGCTTTTGTTGTATCTAAATAACCTTTGCCTATCACAGGGTTATAAAAATTATTCTTCCATGTTTTCTTCTAGAAATTTTATAACTTTAGGTTTTTACAGTTAGGTCAATGATCCATTTCTAGTTAATTTTTGCATGTGGTACAAGGTATGGATTGAAGTTTACTTTTTGATTATAGGTACCCAGTTCTAGCATCACTGTTGAAAAGACTATTCTTTCTCCATTGGATTTCCTTTGCACCAATGTGGAAAACAGTTGTCCGTATATGTGTGGGTCTGTTTCTTCACTGATCTATTGGTATATATTTATACAATTGTCACATTCTCTTCATTACTTTGATTATAAGAAGTCTTAAAATCAGATGGTGTTAACTCTCCAACTCTGTCTTTTCTAGGGTTGTTTTTGACTATTTTAGGTTCTTTGCATTTGCATATGTGTTTTCTGAATTTCAGTTTTTCAGTTTCTGCAAAAAGCCTGCTGGCATTTTGATTGGAGTCGGCTTGAATCTGTAGATCAATTTGGGGATAAATAACATCTTAACAATATTGAGTCTTTTGATTAATGCATATTTTATCTCTTTCTATTTATTTTGTTTTTCTTTAATTCTGTTAACAATGTTCTGAGGGTTTCAGTGGTCAGGTTTTCTATATTTTTGTGTGATTTATCCCTAAGTATTTTGTATTTTTTGATGCTATTATAAGTGGCATTTTAAATATTCCATTTCCAATTGTTGCTGGTGTACAGTAATTGAATCGATTTTTATGTGTTGATCTTAAATCCTAAAACTTTGATAAGTTCACTTATTAATAGCTTTTACTCTAGGTTTCATCAAATTTTTACACAGATGATCATGTTTTCTGTGAATAGAGACAGTTGTATATGCTATTTATTACTTTAAATTTCCCCCAAGTTCTGCTTTAACAGAATCATATAGTTTGTACTCTTTTTTGGTCTGGCTTCGTTGAAACAGTATAATTATTTTGAAATTCATTCATGATCAAACTTCCTCTATATTTGTCCTGATTTTCTGTATAATTTTCCTCTCTATTATTAAGAGTGGAGTGTTTATCTATAAATGTGTATTTGTCTAATTCTCCTTGTAGTTCTATCAGTTTGCTTTATGTACTTTGGCCTCTGTTATTAGGTCTGTAAACATTAGGATTATTATGTCCTTTTGATGATTGGACCCCCTTATCATTGCAAAATAACTCTATTTCTGATAATTTTCTTCTCTCTGGATCCTATTTTGTCTGATATAAATGTATTCACTCAACTTTTATTAGTAAGTTTTATCTTTTTACATTTTTTGACTTTTAGCTTATTCAAGTCTTTATATTTAACAAGTGTTCTTTGTAGGCAATGTTTTAGTTTGGACTTGCTGTTTTAAAAAATTCAATTTGACAAACTCTAGAGTGTTGAGACCATTTATTTTCAGTAAGATTGTTGATATGGTTAGGTTTAAGCCATACTGATATTTGTTTTCTATTTGTCCCACCTGTTCTTTGTCCTGCTCTCTTTTTCTACCTTCTTTTGAATTAATTGAACATTTTTTCATAATTCTATTTTATCTCCTTATGTTTTGGCTTAAGGCTATAACTCTTTGTTTTGTTATTTTAGTTTTGCTTTAGGGCTTATAGTACACATCTTTAACTTATAAAAAAGACCACCTTCAGCCGTTTCACATATAGTATAAGAACCATTTCACATATAGTATAAGAACTTGAAAATGGTATATTTCTATTTCTTTCCTCCAACTTTTATGCTATTTCACATGCAGTATAAGACACATGGGAAAACTACCCAAGTCCAGGGTAAGAATCACCCTGAGGTAAGGGCGCCTGGCACCCAGGCAGGCCTGTAAGTAAAAATGCCATTTCACATTTCACATTTAGTATAAGACCATTTCACATATAGTATAAGAACTTGAAAATAGTATATTTCTATTTCTTTCCCCCAATCTTTATGCTTTTGCTATCATACATCTTGTTTTCATGTATGCTCTAAACTGTGCACTACATTGCTATTATTTTTGTTTAACAATTATCTTTCAAGAAGATTTAAATAAGAAAAATATCTAATATCTTCAATCAAGTAGTTACCTTTCTTGTGCTAATCATTACCTTATGTAGACCCATACTTCCATATTGTATCATTTTCCTTCTTCCTGAAGGACTTTCTTTAACATTTCTTGTGGTGTGAGTTTGCTGTTGATGAATTCTTTCAGCTTTTCTGTGTCTGAAAAAGTCTATCTCACTCTTGTTTTTGAAAGATATTTTCACTGGATGCAGAATTTTAGATTGACAGTTTTCTTTCATACTTTAAAGATGTTGCTTCATTGTTTTCGTGCTTGCACTGTTTCCCACGGAAAATCTGCCATCATTTATTTTTGTACCTCTCTTTGTAATGTGTGTGTGTTTGCATGTGTATGCCTTTACTCTCTTTGTTTTTTAATATTTTCTCTATGAAACCAGTTTTGACCAGTGAGATTATGGTATGCCTTGGTGTAGTTTTTCATGTTTCTTATGCCTGAGTTTGTTCATGTTTCTTGAGCTGCTTGGATCTATAAGGTTATAGTTTTTATCAAATCTGGAAAATTTTTGCCATAATTTCTTTAAACTATTTCTTTGTCCCATGCCTCTCTCCTCTCCTTTGTGAACCCCAATTTCACATATACTGGGCTGCGTGAAGGTGTTCCACAGCTCGCTATTGCTCTACTTGTATCTTTTAAAATTCTCTTTTCTCTCTGTTTCCATTTTGTATAGTATCTATAGCTTCAAGTTCACTAATCTTATTTTCCCTGTTATGTTTAATCTGCAGTGAATCCGATCCAGTGTATTTTTTACCCCACACATTGTATTTTCATCTCTAAAAGTTTGATTTGGTCCTTTTCTATATTTTCCATGTCTCTATTGAACTTTTAAAACATATGGAATGCATTTAAAATAACTCTTGTAATGTCCTTATCTGTTAATTCTATGATCTGTGTCATTTTTAATTAAGATTCAATTAGCTATTTCCTCATTATAGGATACATTTTCCTACTTTTTCATATGCCTGGAAATTTAAAATTTCATATTAGTTTTATCCTGTTGCATCCTGGGTATTTTTATATTCCTCTAAATATGCCCAAGTGTTGTTCTGGGATGCTATTAAATTACTCAGAAACTGTTTGATCCTTTGGGTCTTGCTTTCAGATTTGTTAGATGTGAGCTTGAACAGTGTCCATTCTTGGGTTGTTTTCCACTGCTTCAGTAAAACCTTCTATATACTCAAAGCCCCATGAAGTTTTCCAGTCTGGCTGGTGAGAATAGGCATTTTTACTTACAGGCACTCTTACCTCAGGGTGATTCTTACCCTGGACTTGGGTAGTTTTCCTATGTGTCTGTGCTGATCAGTACTTTGATAAATACACAAGGGTGGGCTCATTGTAGATCTCTTAGGTTTTCTCTTTGTGCAGCTCTTTCCTCTCTGGTATTCCGCAATAAATTCTTGCTGCCTTGGGAGCCTTGGACCCTCATCACT